GGCGTCCTGAGCGTGTTTTTTTTTTTTTTTTTTTTGTATTTGAGCGTTGTCACTATCGTACTGCTACCTGTCGTCACCCGAATAGATCGCCCGGTCATTATAGACGTATTTTGGGCAACTACCCGTCCAGATGCGGCAATAATGACCGAGCGTTCTATTCGGGGGAAGAGGGGTAGTCTTTAACCCAACCGAACGCACAGTCATTGGGCCTCGGTCCAGTACTCTCGACATGTGCAAAACGAGAGTGAATCTTCCGCTAGACCATGGAAAGATACACCTCCATGATTTTTTGTCTTTTTTTGTGCATATCGAGCGTAGTGGAGCGAGGTCTTCGTTACACGGAACATGACATTGCATTCCGTGCGGTGCACGGGGGTTAACAAGTGGACCGTAAGTGTCCTCCCAACACGGAACATGACATTGCATTCCGTGCGGTGCACGGGGGTTAACAAGTGGACCGTAAGTGTCCTCCCAACCTATGAATCAAGGGTCCCAACGTCCCCACCTTGCCCTCAAGGACCTTTTGGACTGAACTCTGGACGTGATTCTGAGGCATCCAGACCTCTATGAAACTGCAAGGTTTTTTTTTTTTTTTTTTTTTTTTTTTTTATAACTGCAAGTTTTACCTATATTCCCAACACTGCCAGAGGTACTACGAACTAATTTTTTTTTTTTTTTTTTTTTTCCGAGTTCATATGCACACCAGCACTTTTGGAAATGTATCCGACCGTAATTACGTCGGATCTGAATGCCTCAGAAGGTAATCACGTTAGAAGTTTGATGTTAATAAAGTTTGATCTTCTTCTTAAAAAAAAAAAAAGAAAAAAAAAAAAAAAAGGTCCTCGAGCGCATGGTGGGGACGTTGGGAGGACACTCACGGTGCGCTCGCTTGTTCGGTGGAGTTCGTTGAGACTAACGCCCGTGCATGGTGTCAATCAGTTTCAGCAGGGCCAACTGTCTTCAGCCGCAGGGAATTCAATGTCATGCTCCCTGTAACGAAGACTTAAAGTTGGCCCAGATACGTCCGTAACGGCCTCGCTCCACTACGCTCGATATGCACAACTCACAAAAATCAAGCGGTGTATGTTTCCATGGTCTAGCGGAAGATTCACTCTCGTTTTGCACATGTCGAGAGTAGTGGAGCGAGGCCCAACGACTGTGCGTTCGGTTGGGTTAGTACGCGAGAGAAAACGTTGACATACCAAGAAAAGGAAAAAACTCTCAGGACGCCGCCAATTCACAGTCGACAGCCTCTGTGTGTGTGTGTGTGTGTGTGTGTGTGTGTGTGTGTGTGTGTGCGCGACGAGCGGGAAGAGGGCACGGGGCAGAAAACGTGTCGTGTATGGCATTTGCAAGGGCTATAAATAGCGTATCCGGCGACGGGTTAGGCGTGAGCTTGCGCCGTCCGCAAGCACATAGTTGCGGAGGGTGACATTTGTGAAAAGGTTGGGGGGAGGGAATCAATGCTTTTCCTACTGACTGTGGTAGCCGCTTTGACGCACCGGAGCTGATTATCAGCTCAGCTGATTAACAGCTGGAAGGAGATATCTCTGATTGGCGGTGACCATTAGCAGGCTGCCGGTGAAGGATCGGGGGCTGCCACGTCACCAGGGTGCGAAGGGAAAGGAGGAGCAGGGGAGACGAAGGGAGAAGGACGACAAACACGGCCGAGGAAGGGAGGAAGGGAGGAAGAACTCGACGTGACGTCAGAGAAGTACGGGCTCTACGGAAGTGCTGTCGTTCGTGTATTCGTGCTCGTTCTCCTTGGTAACCTCCCTCTCTCTCTCTCTCTCTCTCTCTCTCTCTCTCTCTCTCTCTCTCTCTCTCTCTCTCTCTCTCTCTCTCACGCTCGCACGCACGGGCGCGTGCGCCCCGCCCCCAGCACACACACACTCACACCGTCGCATGCGCGCGCGCGCGCCCCGGGCCCAACACACACAAACTCACACCGTCGCACGCGGGCACACGGTGAGATCCGTCATGGTTGCAGCTTCCTGCCATAGCCTGTGCCTTATGCTTAGTACAGGTTTTGCTGACGTATGGTCTTTGAGAGTCTGTTCCTTGATCATGGTCCGGATGAGCGTTGCGTGCTGTTATCTTATGTTTTTTTTATGTTGCTGACATTGACAAGGATTATGAGGTGAAGTCCTTCTGGATATTGTGATGACGCACCTTGAGCTCGACCTTGCCGTGCAAGGCGAGACCATTAAGGTGGCCACAGTTTCTTTTTTTTTTTTTTTTTTTTTTTTTAATATTTGGTGGCTTCTACAGTTTCAACGCGGACTTGAAGTCATCATGATGGGCTTTTTTTCTAAGACCTTAACCAACATCGTACTGGCGGGCGCCGAGCAGGAATGCAGGCGTGCTCGTCTTCGCTGCTCTCCAAGTTTCGCCCATGAAGCTGTTTCTTGATTGATTGATTGCGGCGCTGATAAGCAGATCCTGAGTTAAGATCCTTTCCTTCTCTATATATATAGGACTGTGCCCAGGATATGGCAAGGCGAGAAGATGAGCATGGTGGCAAGCCGAGAAGATGAATGCAGAAATTGTCGAGACGTGCTTTTTCTTTACTTGGGAGTTTTTTTTATTATTATTTTTTTTTTATTTTTTTATTTTTTAAGGGAGGTCATTTCAAAAAGGGGTAACATTTGAAAGCTTTCAAAAAGAAAAATGGATTGAAAAATATATAAAATAAAGCTTAATTTTTTTTTTTAAAACGTATAGAATTCTACCAGCCTTTCAGGGCACGATGGGACATTTGGATATTCCTTGCCATTATGCATAGAACGTCAATACGGAGTTCGTGTCCACGTGCCTGTCCACGATCCGGGCCACTTTCCTGGCCACATTCCTGGCCACCATCTTCGCCGCGTTCCTTGCCATCCCTCATGGGTTCTCCTCTATAATGGGCATCGCTAGCCGTGTTCTTGACCACATTCCTGGCCACGTATCCTGGCTGTATTCCCGGCCACGTTCGTCTTCGCATTCCGGAATTGGGGTGTAAAGACTGCGTCATTGTGGAAAGGTTATTTATCTGTCATGCTTACGTGAGTCTGACGGCAATTCACACCACAACGTTGATCATCGGACTAACCAGCCGGATTAACCAGCCCAGGTTAATTCAATCTTGTGTCTAATTTCAACCCTTCACACAATTATAGTTTGCCAGCAAAAATAAAAGTACAGCGTTTTGCCCAGTTTCAGAGCAGAGGACTTTGTTTTTTTTTGGGGCATGGCTGAGCGTGCCCACGGCCGAGATGCCTCGTGATGTTGACGAAAGTGAGATCTCAAAAGAGAAAGTACATGCAATCATCATACATGAGAGTATGTGTACTGCAAAACACGCCAAACGATTGAAAACGCTGGTGGGTATGGCTACTGCAAAACACGCCAAACGATTGAAAACGCTGGTGGGTATGGCTACCCCGACCGGTTTCGACCGCCGCCACGCGGTCCTCTTCAGGGGGATCGCTGACTCGCTGAGAGCCTGGACTCCGCTATCATCCGAGTCGCAGTCCGAGTGATCTGAGTTATACTCAGTGGTGATCTGAGTTATACTCAGTGGTCTTCGCTTTCCCTTTCTTTCCTTCCGATAGCATCGTCTGTATGATGCGATCGTGAACGCCTTCACACATCGCTCCCATATGGAGTCTCATATCCTTGCGCAGGGCTGCTCGGTCTTCAGCTTATTTTTCTAGTCTTCTTTCTTGCGTGCTCGTCGTTCACGCGCCAGTTGCTCCTCGGTCTCCCATCGAAGTTGTTCAGCTTCCTCTTGTTCACGCTTCTCAGACTCCTTCCTCTGTCTTTCCTCCTTGTCCTTACGTGCTTGTTCGGCGTCAATGAAGCTCGGCCGAGATGCCTAGGCCACGGCCACAAAAAAAATAAATAAACAAGAAACGTGGCGGAGGCATCTCCGGCGTGGCCACGGTCGAGATGCCACAGCCACGCGGGAGCGGGGGGGGGGGGGGGGGGGGGGGAACGCTGAGTCCCTGAGTCCCTGGGCCGTGTCCTTTGCTGGGACCCTGGGGCCAGAGGCCAGAGGCCTAGGGGTCCTTGCGACGACCAAGACCCCTGAAGAAGGCTGGTTGGCGGGCCGGCCCAAACATGTCGGGTTCATGCCCCTGTTTTCATTGATATATTTAAGAGAAAACTATGGCGCAGTCAGGGATCGAGTTTGTAATTGCACTTGAGGCAAAAGGGCCCGTAATGCTGAATGTATATGACCTACGTTTCGGGTCCGGTGGGGTTGCGTGGGGGTGTGTTGTATTCGCGGGATTGCCTGAAGTGCAATTACAAACTGTTTTCGTGACTGCTCCGAAGTTACCCCTATATTTAAATATTACGTCGCGTCCGGGCTTTCATGCAGTTGCGTCTACTCTTGCTCTTCCTGCTGTCTCACTCTTATCCTTCTTCCACGAATCTTCGTCGTTGTTGCTATGTCCTCATGTGTTGATTGGATGAAAATGATCATATAAGTCAGTTTGTCGATTCTTCAACTGCTACCTTCTTCCCCCGAATACAACGTACGGTGATTATATCTGTATCTAGACTGAAAGATGCCCCAAATACGGCTACAATGACCGTACGTTGTATTCGGGGGAAGAAGCTAGGGATCCTTTGCTGTGAAACTGAACAAAACGCGGTATTTTTGCTGGCAAACTACGGGAACCCGATAAAGCTGCAACGACAAACTACGGGACCCCTCTAAAAAGCTGCAACGAAACCTCTCTACTTTTTGCGAAGGAAACTTCGCCAAAGGACGACATTTTTGCTGCCACACTTGGAAGGAGCAATATTTTTGAAATTCACCCTGTTTTTAATGACTGGTTCGGTTCCAGCTATGGGTCGGGAGGAGATGGAGGATGCGGGTTAGAGTCGCTGGCGGTTGCAAGGGGCGTGTTCAGACTACTACCGGTAGTAGGATTTTCACGAAATTCAATGTATACGTATCTGGTCCCGAACTAGCCTAAGGTTCTTTTGATAAGTCCAGTTCTCTGGTGTGTGTGAATAACACTGAATACGCTGACGAGTCCAATTCTCTGGTCTGTGTGAATACGGTGTTGTTGAGTGCTATTCTGTATTGTGTGTGTGTGATATCTTGAATCCTGATGTGCGTTAGTGTATGATATGTTAGGTTGGGTTCCAGTTATGGGTCGGGAGGAGATGGAGTGTAATGCCAGTTCGAGTGCTGAGCCGTGTTATACCGAGCCGAACTCAAGGGCGGCTGAAGAGAAGAGTGCGACGGTGGTGTTCCCTACAACCCGCTACATGCTGGGGGTGCTGAGGAAATTGCTGCATCATGGCTTTTTAGGAATGATCATCAGCGTTGCTCTCACACTGGTTTCCTCTTTTGCAAAGATTGCCCGATCCTTTTTAGGTGAGTTAAATCTGAACTGTGAAAATACCAGCTAGCCTAGCTCAGTTGGTACACCCATAAACTGCCGAACCGCGAAAAAAGAGCGAAAAAAAAAGAAAAAAAAAGGCGTAATGAGGGCGCAGTTACGATTTCTGTTAAAAATCCAGCTCCGGCATCCCTCGAATATAACACTTCCCCTCACGACCCTGAAGGTGGGTTGTATACATTCACGATCATCTTTCTCTCTAGGTTTGGATACAAAATAACATTCGCGAAATCGCTTTCGCGACTCAAATGCGAATGCGATTTAAAAAACTGAAAACCAAGAAGTACAAAAAAAAAAAAAAAAAAACAACAACAACAACAACAACAACAACAACAACAACAACTGAAAACCCGTGACAGCTTTCACAAGAACGAAAGGAGGACAAGAAACGAACTGCTGCTGAACCGCAGACCTCGTTCCCAAGTTCGAACCCAGATGGAATCAGTCGTTTTGGTTCTCGCGGTAAGCATGGGCCTCGCACCACTACCATTATTGTACTACATGCATTTGGACACTTTTCTTGACCCGGTTCATTCGGGGAGAACTTAACCCAGATGGAATCAGTCATTATGGTTCTCAACTTCTCAAGGTAAGCATGGGCCTTGCCCCTCTACCATTATTCTAAATGCAGTTGGACACTTTTGTGGACCAGGTTCATTTGGAGAACTCGACTACTTTGAATGTATCGGCGCGATCATGTGCTCCAGATACGTGTACAGTGTAGTGTCCTGGAGCTCGAGGCTACTTGATTCTTTGCATTGAACCACCCCCAACCCCTAACAAGGTTCCTAACCCTTAACAAGGTTCATTTGGAGAACTCAACCATTTTGAATGTATCGGGGCGACGAGGTCCAGATACCTGTACAGTATTGTGTACTGGAGCGAAGCTCCTTAATTGTTTTACAATTATCAAGTCTAAACCACCCCCTTATCAAGTATAAATCACCCCCCTCCCTGAATCTACCGACTGGGAACTCGATGTACCCATACAGAGTTACACGGGGAACTTTTGTCTTTTCACCTTGATTCAGTGGATTTCCTGAGTATCTGACAGCTGTCCCAGGAGATATCAGCTCTTTCTTTCTTTCTTTCTTTCTTTTATCGTTTTTTTTTTTTCTTTTTTTTTTTTTTTTAGGTGAACATTCTTGAGCAAGTCCGCGATCGCAGTGGTAGTGAGAGAACAGCCCGGATTGGGGGCTTGGAGTTGGGTGGATGATCCGTGGACCGTGGATCCATCTATTGGTGGCCCAATGGCGGGGAGCAGCACCTGCTGAGCTTTTTCTTCCTTTTAGGATCTGCTGGCCCAGGAATTTCTTTTTTTTTTTTTGTTTTTTTTTTTGTTTTTTTTTTTGGGGGGCGGGCAGGAATTTCACCCTTGGATCAGCAGGGAATGAAAGAAATGTTTTTCTGTCCGTCTCCCTGCTGAACCCTGGGCAAGACTTTCCTTCCCCCAACACAGAATGACATTACTGCGAAATTGTGCGAAAGTATGCAAGCTATTTTCCCTGCGTTGTGTTCAGGAATCAGGGGAAGATGGTAGCAGAACTTCCCATCAAGCATTTGTACCCTCAGCGTGCTCTTTTAAATTGGGTTTGCAAGGTAATTTGCTCAAGGAGTTCAATGCGATCAGTCTGTCTCTGTCAGTAGCCGTCGTTCAGATGGAGATACGAGTAATACCCAGAGCGCCTGCTCTCTCTCTCTCTCTCTCTCTCTCTCTCTCTCTCTCTCTCTCTCTCTCTCTCTCTCT